ACAAAAAGAAAAAAAAAGAATTCAGAAATATTTTTATAAAATTATTTTAGATTAATAAGAGTGAAACCACTTTATCTATAAAATCAAGGTATTTATGAGAGAATAGATAATTAAAGAATGAATATATAAATTTATTAATGAGAATTCCATTAGTTAACATTTTATAATTTTTACAAAATGTAGCTTTTTGAAGTTCATGCTACCAGACTATACATTACCATACTTCTTATTCTTCCCTATTATTTTCACCTTCTGATCATAACTTGCTGTCTCAACTCTTTGAATTTCCTTCTATCATTAATCTTTTATCCATTGTACTTCAGCCACCCTCTCCCATGATCATTCCTGTGGGTCTTGTCATTAAAAGCTCTAAAACCTAAATTTCAAACATTTCTCTAAAACAATGGTTCTCAACTATGGGAGAGGAGGGATATATTGCCCCAGCAGAGGTCAATATGCTGGGACTTTTTGTACTGGTCCTGGGGCTTGAATGTGGAGCTTGGACAATGTTCCTGAGCTTTTTCTGCTTATGGCTAGCACTCTACCACTTGAGTCACAGCTCTACTTCCAGATCTTTGGTGGTTAATTGGAAGTAAGGGTCTCATACCTTTCCTGCCCAGGCTGGTTTGGAACCCAATCCCTAAATCTCAGCCAAGTAGCTAGGATTACAGGCATAAGCCACTAATGCTTTCTTGGAAGCAGTATTGAAAAATAAGCAGAGAGGTAACTGTCAGCATCCAGAATATAGAGAGTAGTGGCACTAAGTATCCTCCAAAAGCACAGGTCACCACCTCCTCATCAATAATCCCGGATGATCCAGGCACTGAGGTGCAGGGAAATATTCTGTTTTAGAGCTGCATCTCCTTCCGCTTTCCTTTCCCTCACTGTTTTTCTAGGCTGTAGTCCACTTCATATTACTGGATTCCACCAAGGAGGTCCTTTTCCAACCCTCCACTGAAACTCCTCTTTTTAAGCAACTGATACAGTACACGTCTTCCTCCTTGGGGATCTTTCTAGGACACCATCCCCTTGTTTTCCTCCTACTCTACTGGAAGCTCCTCCATGGTCTCTTTACTAGTTCCTTTCTCGGCTAGACCTTTTACAGTTGGATTTGGGGTGTGGGCCCAAATTCCCCTGAACCTTTCTTTTCGTATATTTACTTCCTAGGTGGCCTCAAGAAATCTCATGGCTTATGTAATGAAGTGCAAAACACTAATGTGTTCTTGCTTTTCCAGTAGCTGTTAAAGAGATTATACTATGGTCTGTGTTAGCTCCAATGCTTTATCCATAGCATCAGGTGGGAGAGCAAGGAGTTCATTTTCAAATGCACACAGTGGGTTAGATTAGATGATGGCAAACAGTATTCCGGCCCAATCCTTGGCATATAGTCAGTTGGCCGTGTCATGTAAGTGCATCTGATAATCCCTCCTATTTAGTGACTATCATGTTTCATAGTGATCAGATTCTGCTGAGGTCATTTTTGTTACTATTTGCTATATTTAAAAAATGGAAATAGTATTATTTCTGCTGGCCCACATGTGGTCTTACAATAGCATTCAACTTTAAAAGTTTCATAATTCTGTATACAAAAATCTTAGAAGTATTAGATGTCTTTTTTCAGACTCAAGGACAAAAGAAAGTAGCTAGTATGATGGAAAGTAAAGACGTACACAAAGGGATATATCAGATTGAATGGGAGCATAAGAAAATGGAGATGGAAATGGAAGATCTAAATCAGAAGGCTTGGGATATTCAGATGCTGTTTTTTTCAAGAGATCGTCAAAAGGTAAGTTCTCTCCTCTCCTTTAGTTTTCATTTCATTTATTAATGTGATCTATTCATTTAACCAGGGTTTCTGTAAGAAACCTTCATAATGCAAGCGTATTATAAACCAGAAGAATCTCCTAATAAACATATGAATATGTTTGATTTCTCCCTCTCCCACCCGCCCTGGTTTATATTTGCAGCCTTCAGGACTCAGTAATGTATTGCTTACAGTTCTTGAGGATTTCTTAATTGTGACACCCAGTTCTCTTTTTCCTATTTAATTCTCTGTCACATTTGACTATCTTAGTTACCCGTTCTTTGGACTAGCTTTATCGCTCCTCTTTTCCTCCTGGTTTTCTTCCCACATCAAACCTCTCTGCCTCTTTAACTGGAATCCCTTTGCTTGATCATTTAAATGTAGCCACTTTTAAGGTTCTTCCTGAGCTGTAACACAAATGAGCACATCTGAAGGTTTAATCCAAGATCTCTGGATTCCAATTCAATTCCATTCGAATCCAAGATTTCCCTCTTTCCTATGTCTTCTTTCCTAGGCTCAACTTATTTCCTCTTTCTCACTGCCTCCATCCCAGTTCAGATCTCCATTTTCAGTGGTGTAGATGGTCATATGGTCTCATAACCTTGTGTTTTCCCCACACCTCCTCCTTCCTTTTTCCCTCCCTCCTTTTCCCCAACTCTCTCACTTTAATTCCCAAATTCATTTATTTTTATATTGGTTGGTAATTTGCTGTCAGATTTTTCTTCCTAATTGACTAATTGCATGAGTACCCTGTTTAAACTTTTTTTTTTTTTTTGGCCATTCCTGGGGCTTGAACTCAGAGGCTTGCTTGACTCAAGGCGTAGGCTCTGTCCCTAAGCCTTGTTATGCTCAAAGGTAGGGCTCTACCACTTGAGCCACAGTGCCACTTCTGGCTTTTTCTGAGTAGTTTATTGAAGATAAGTCTCATGGACTTTCCTGTCCTGGCTAGCTTTGAACCATGATCCTCAGACCTCAGCCTCCTGAGTAGCTAAGATTACAAGCATGAGCCACTGGCACCCAGCCCTTTTCAACATTTTAATTCTTATGAGCTTTCAAGTCCTTAGTTGGGTGGTATCTTCCAACTTAACTTTGTGTCAAGAAAAGGAATATTTGTGTTCTTATTGTCAGCGTTCCCAAAGCAAGTGGATTAGAATTTGTTCATAGTTCTGATTCTCTTTTCTTTTTTCACACCCTAAACCTGTTTGTCAAGATTTGGTTTAAATATTAAACAGCCCCTCTCCACAAAGCCTTTCTTTGATTTCCTAAGCCTAAAGACATTGCACCCCATCACAAACTACCTTTGTATTTGCCAACACTTGATGTATCTATCTTCTGGCAATGAGTCACTTCTATCACTTCTTTTTCTTCAAGTCTAGCTCATGTTATCGATCCTTCTATCTACCTCAGTCTAGAACATTGTAAGTGTGAGACTTAAGTGAAACTTCATAAAGTTAAATAAATGAAGAAAACAGACTTTAGGAATTTGTAGTAATTAATATATAGTACATTGATGGCTAAATACAAGTAACCATTACAGGACAAAAATCAAATGAATCTTAGATATTTGTTATGAAAAACAATTTTCAAAACCAAAACAATGAAGTTACCAATCGAAAGAAAGAAAAATATCCTTATATATGTTCTCATTTTTTTTTTCTCCTAAAGTACCTAAATGAACCAAACTATGAGAGTCTGATTGCTCTTCAGATTGGAATAATGGAGCAAACAATCCAGGTTCTAGATAAGGTCAGTCTCAAAAAAAATATGTATCATTATAATCCCAACAGTTTTGAATCATTCAGTGTTTCAACCATGAACTCTGATCCCCCAAAAAACTTTTATTAGAGGTCTCTCAATTTTGTCTTTGTGCAACCCTAACTAATGTAGTAAATACTACACTTAACCTCTGGGAAGCCAGGCTCTGGTATCTCAGAGGCTGAGATTTGAGGATTGAGGCTCAAAGCTAGCCTAGGTAGATAAAGCCCCAGACTCTTAACAAAGAGCAGAGAAGTAGAGACATGGCTCAAGTGCCAGCTGTGAGCAAAAAAAGCAGAGTAGAAGCACAAAGGCCTAACTTCAAGTCCCAGACCTCAGTACTAGTGGATATTCATATTAATGTAATAAAAGTGTTGATCTTTCCTTGGCATTGTATTTGTCTTATCCTAACTGAAAAACAAATGCTCAATTTGATTATATAGCATATATAAGATTTAAACAAAGTAACCACAAGGCTTTTTAGATATTTAATTTTTAGCTTCTTTTGTTTGTAGTATTAAAATATAATCCTTCAACAAACTATGGACAGAGCACATGGCAGACAGACTCTAGAGATAGGGTGTGATGTTGGTGACAATAATGTACTTAAAATATAATAACATCTATATAAAGTAACTTAAACTTGTTTCAAAATTATTTTTCTTGGGGTTTTGTGGGAAACAAATTTCAGACCCACAAAAAGAATGTTGAGCACTGCAAAAAGCTACTCAGAAAACTCGGAAAAGTCAGCAATCAAAAAGATACAGCCAATTATAATCTAAGCTGCAATCTACAGAACGAGCTGGTAGCTGTCTCTGAGAGAAAAGAAATCTGTGACTCAATTGGTAAGCTTTTCCTTTCATCAACCATAGGTTTCTCAAAGGAATCTGTTCTCTTGAAATTGGTACAATAGTTAATATAGCAATTAGTATTTCTTCCACACAATTGATTGTGGGTGTTTCTTCTGTATTTGAAAGCACTGACAATAAATCAATTCTTTTCTTCTTCATTTCTGGGGTAGGGACTATGCTGACTTGTGAAAAGATTGCCAAAGAACAATTTGAAAGCAGGCTACAACAACAGAAGCTGACAAGCATTTCCAAACAGCAAGCTGAACAGATTTCAGTACTGCAAGCGGAAGTTGAAAGACTAAGGATGAGAACATTTCCTGCTCTTGTTCAATTGTAAAACCCCAGCAGAAAACACAAGGCCAAAACAATCCTTTGGAAAAATCCTTTGGGTTAAAATGATTTCTTTTTTGTTTATTTGAATCAGGAAATCTAAGTAATCACCTCTGTTGCAGGTTTTTAAGAGCAAATCGTTAAGTTTTAGCCTTAATCAACAAATTAGTATCCTGCATAAATGTGTAAAGCACCATGAATTGTTTTTATTCAGTAAAGAACAAGATTTTCAACCCATTAGAAAATATTCTTTATTTGCTTGATACTAGAATTTTTAACATTAATCTCTATCAATTTTAACAAAGTAAATTATTTCAGTGCTTTAAATCATTTGTAAATTATGACATATTTTGAATACACAATCAGTTCTTATTCTAACAGAGCTCAATTTTGTGTCCTAATCAATAGTGTTTAGGAAACACAAAAAAGTGCCTTCCAGTTCTAAAGAAGTTTATTGTTCTACTCATATACAGGATGTTAATTACAATAAGGAAATCTCTTTGCCCTTCCACAGCCTGCAGACTGCATTACCAGGGGTATTGTTGGGATTACTGACAACAATCTCTAAGTGATATTGACGCGTCACTGTTTTGCAATTTGTAAACATTAATATGTCCATTATACACTGGTGCAGGTAAAACAAGAGAGCTATTATAAAATCTTCCATTTAGGAAAAGCTCTGTGGATTTTAATAGATCATCCATATAGTGATATGGTGAATGGGAGTGAAGGTTAATGACAGGACCAACATCATTTTGTTGACCAACCCTCTCCCCGCCCCACCCTAGTACTAGAATGATTCCTGAAATAACTTGGTTAATTCGGCTGAGAAGTGACCATTGGTAACATTTCCTATGCTATTTCTGAGACAGGAATTGTGGGGAGCAGAAAGACAGACCCAGACCCAAGATTAGGGGTACGAGGGTTTCAAATACTTAAAACATAGGACTGGTTGCCAGTTTTCTCTCCTCTAAGTCAATCAGGGATGTACTAGACTTCATCTTTTTCTGTTTTCTGTTAATACACATGCCATGTCACCAGTTGACTGCCTTGATACTCCTGTTTGCTTGCTAAGAGCATACCACAGATTTCACTGGATAATGTGGATTCCCAGGTCTTAACAAACCAAGCAGCCCATGTCAGAAAATACTATACAAACATATCCACACACACATATGTATACATAGTATATCCTGAAGGATTAAAAAAAAATCAAGCATCTAAAAATTCTTCTTCACTTCTGTTATAATGTAGCAATTTATCATCTAACCCATAGTAGTCAATCAATTGAGTAAGGCTTAGTTTCTTGTTCTCTTCAGACATAGCTGACTGCAATTCATAAAGTAACAGCTGGCTACAGTTTCTCCACTTCTTTATCAACAACTGTAACTGAGACAGATCATTCTGAAACAGAAAAGTTGAAAAAATAAACCATAAGTGTATGTCAGTAAGGAGATAGTCATACTATTTTAACTTATACCATCAAAGCTACTAAATCAGATGATGAGTAGAACTTCTTCCTAGGAAAAAAAACTGGGTGAATAGAAGAATGTCACTCAACTTCAGTTCCGTGGCTATTGTTGGGTCGCAAATCTAGGCCAGTGTCGCCCTCAGGGAAAAATCACACCATTAAGGTAAAAACTACATGAAAATTCAGTTTTTATACTACACTGTATTTTCAAGAGATGACACTATGCTCTACCTCCTACTCAGTTCTGCCATGAACCCAAAACTGCACGTAAAAATATTTGTTGTTTTTCAACATTTGTTGTCTTATAAGTGATATTTAGAAAAATCCTAAAGGTTCAAGACAGTAAATGAAACACTCTTCTTCTCCCTCTCTGGGACAATGGGCTATTATTACATGGGCATGTACTATTAATAGAGATTATCACCACCATCCAGGTTCTATGTAATTCAACCAATGTAGCCTGAAATCTAAAATCTAATACATATTTGTTGTTTCCTCAAACAAAATGCTTGAGACATTTTAATTATTGGGAGGAAAAAGAGACCATTACTAAAAATACTTCCTATACATTGTGATCTTTTTAAGTTTTATTCATTTGTTTCCACTGTACATACATCTAACATTTAATACTCTTAACTGTACTACAGGTTACAAACCAGAGAGAAAAGCTTCATTTGCATAGGACTTTATTTTGTAAAAAAGCTTTATCTTGGGTTGACAGGCCTTTTCTTAATTCTACATGTATGACTTATATTTCAGTTAAAGCTGCTGGAAGCTAGGTTTCTGAAAATTTGGCTTACTTGTTATGCTAAATTTATGTTCTATTTCTGAAATTAATCTCTTGTAATTTGTATAAAACTATGCAATGGTTCTCAAATTCTTCTCACCTTTGATCGATACATTTTGACTAGTTTTAATCTCCGGAGAAGTTCTTCTTTCTCCTGAATCTGTTTCACCAATTGTGCTTTTTCTTCCTTTAATCCTTCTTTAGGATTCTCATCCACAAAATCATTTTGGAGAGCAGTGTATGACCCAGTATCAAATAACTTAGATTCACAAGCATGGATATTCTTGAAGTTATTTTCAAAAAACTTATTTTCTTCACACTCACTGTCTATGTGCTTAAAAGAGTTTCCACCTGCTGAAGATGCTTGTTTTTCTAAAACAGCCTCATTTTCTTCATTCTCTACTTTAAGACGTTTCACCACACTGCAATAGGAACTAAATGAAGATCTTGTTTTCCTTAATCTTTCTCTAAGTGTTGCACTCATAGGCTGAAAATGGAACATAACATTAAAATTGTCAATCAAAAACAACCCTTGATGTTAATAAATGCCTAATACTTATTTCTACATCTCTATAGCAGGTATTACTAGATGGCTTCCGGTTTTCATATATCTTAAGTACCACAACATTGATTAATCAAGATGCATTATACTCAAAAAATTGTTAGGTTTAACGGAAAACCCCTTTGAACAACTAAGTAAATTTTAAATAATGAATAAAAAAGCATCATAAAATGTCCAAGGCCGGGCACTGGTGGCTCACGCCTGTAATCCTAGCTACTCAGGAGGCTGAGATCTGAGGATAGTGGTTCAAAGCCAGCCCAGGGAAGGGAAGTCCATGAGACTCTGATCTCCAGTAAACCACTAGAAAACCAGAAGTGGCCCTGTGCTCAAGGGGTAGAGCGTTCGCCTTGAGCTGAAGAGCGCAAGGGCAGTGCCCAAGCCGAGTTCAAGTCCCATAACCGACACACACAAAAAGTTACGTCCAGATATTCATTCTTTTTAACTCCACTTTACTTTTGCAGGGTTAACACGCTTCTGAAAGTGCTGAGACATTTATCCCAGTAACATTTGTTTGGCGCTCTCAAGGACAATATTTACAAAATTAAAACCTCCTACATTTGGAGTATCCTATAAGAACCTGATGTGAAACTAAATGAAATTATTGGTTCAAGATGTCAACCTGGCAGGGAGAACGTTAGGCTACGAATTCTTCAATCTACTTAAAAGCACCCCTGCCAGCATACTCTGAAACACAGACCCAGTAGAAGCAGCAACAGATGTTCCTACTTGTTTTCGTAAACTGTTTGTATGGGGAGATGGTGGGATCCCACGGGTCTGAGGAGTGGTAGGTAAAACCACGGCGGAGTCTGAAGGGCTTTCCATCTTCAAAGGGAAGTCTTGGTGTATGTCTAAATAAAAAAAAACGCAATTATAAAATGAACTACAAAATGGAAATTAACCATTCCTGTATCCAAACGTCCTGCTGACATCAGAGAAGCTTCGTTAGCGTCCAGGAGTACCCTCGCTAAGCCAGGCGGCCGGTGCGGGGCCCCGTCCGCGCTCCGCATTTACCGTCGCACACGGGCACCACCGAGAGGTCTGCACGCTGTTTCCAGATTAACCAGCTTGTAAAAAACACCTCAAACCGCCTTCCGCTCGGAGCTTGGGAAGACAGAACGGTTTCAGCCAAGCGTTCCGTGAGGAGCGCCCGTAACTCAGAGCAATACCAAGCAGTGAGAGGACGTCCCGACCACGGATGCGGCCCGCAGAGCTCCAGGCCCGGGTTGGGCTCCAGCTTCCCCCATCCCACTCCACAGCCAACCCGCGAAGGCCCGGCTCAATACCTCCCTCCGCCATCCCCACAGCGTACAAAAAGCGCGCGCTAGGGCGACCGGACAGCCCCCCAGAGGGCGGAGCCGCGAGGGGGCGGGGCTGCGCGGGAGGCGGGGCTGCGCGGGAGGCGGGGCCTCGCGGGAAGCGGAGAGACGCTCGGATTGGTTCGGTTCTGCTCCGCATCCAAGAGAGAGACGAGACTGCGCGCGCGCACGCCCTCCCGCCTCCGCCAAGCGGGCGGGGTCAGGGCGGAACCACGCGGGGAGACAGTGGAAGCCAATGATTGGTCAGATCGGCGCGCGCGCGCGACTCTATCCCACCCTCCCCTAGAACCTGACCGGACGGCGCGCGCGGCCGCAAAACCTCAGTTTGGAAAGAGCGGGAACTGAGCTTCCTGAGGGGGGCGCGCCTTCCGCTCGCGGCTTTCCCTTCCTTTCTTTCTTGGTCTACCGCCTCCTCTTCCGGTTTCCGAGTTGTGCGTCAGTGGCGTGCGCCTGAGGAAGGTCCGGCCCCTTCCGCCCGGCTGCTGTCAGTCAGCTCTCCGCTCTTCCCACAGCCGAGGTCCCGGCGCGGACCTGGCGGGCCCGCAGGCCGCGCGGCGGGTGGCGAGTGCGGTGTAAAGCCTGTACGCTCTCCCGAGGCAGAGGCCGCAAACGAGCAGCCTGCTGGGAACCAAAGACGTTGGGGATCCGCCCAAGGATCCGCACACATCTGGCCTTCTTTGCGCCCGCACCCCTGTTGGGCCCCATTCCTGCCTTGCCGACTCTCCGGCCCCCTGGCTGGACTTGGCGCTTCAGGGTTACGCCTGAGGCGGGAGGGGCCGGGCATGCGTTGGAGCTCCGCGCTCACTGCTGGAATTGAGATGTCTGGAGCCGCTCGGGCCTCGGCCTGAAGCCTCCGCTTCCCGTGTTGTGTTCTGTTGCTAGGCAGCAGCAAAGTAAACCAATTTAGGTGGGGACGAGGGCGAGGCATTTGAGTGACGTCACTTAGAAGTTGGGCATTTTCGGGGGCCAGTGTTTTCCGTGCTCTTATTGAATGGCCATTTTTAAGCATTGACATGGTCTCTACTAACATCTGCAAGTCACAGAAGTAGCCAGAAAGAAGGAAGTTGAGTCCATTCAGTCAGGTATAAGTACAGAACCTGAAGACATCGCGATGCAGTGTTGGTGTTGAACTGCCTAGTGATACTAAGTTAACAGAAAAGCAGTCAGGAACTTTTGACCCATATAATTTGCAGGTGTCAAGATGATAGGCCAAAACCTGCCTGACAATGAAATAGGCACAGGAGACGGCTAAAGAACAGGACAAATTAATAATAATAATAAGGAAATAGGGACAGCGCACTCAATCTTTGGTCTTTGGCATCACCATTGTTGGAGGAAACAGAAATGAGATGCACCAGTCAGCCATTTTCTTTCTTTTTTTTGCCAGTCCTGGAGCTTGAACTCAAGGCCCAGGCACTGTCCCTGGGCTTTTTTTGCTCAAGGTTAGCACTCGACTACTTGAGCCACAGCAGCACTTCTGGCTTTTTCTGTGTATGTGGAATTAAACCCAGGGCTTCATGCATTCTAGGCAAGCACTCTACCACTAGGCCACATTCCCAGCCCAGAAAACCATTTTCAAGAACTCCAGTTCTCCCTGTTTAATCAGAGGCCAATCTCTATAACAAAGAAAATGGCACAAGTTGGCTGCTAACTTTGGCTGGAATACTGTTCTCTTGTGGCACGTGTATGCCACATGCTCTCTTTCTCTGCCACATTTCTAATGAACTTTCACCTTTACTATGATCCTATCATCCCTGAATTCTCTTGCCAGCTACAAGGATCAAGGTAAACTTAATTGACCTAAATGTCTGGCAACAAAAGCGTATCTATTTTGGAATTTAATGTCTGCATGCATTTGTTTCCTCCTCTGTAAAATGGAGATAATAGCACCTATTTCTCCCATTGAAGTAAGGAGGCCAGGTCTGGTCGGTGCCATATTGGCCACATGGTGGATTGTAGAGTCTGGCATCTTGTCTTCATGCTGGGGGAAGGACCCTCCCCCCCCCCCCCCCAATCACCTGCCTCCCACTTAATGGGTGTGCCTGGACCCCTGGAGGCTAGGGCAGGCACTTGGCTGATAGTTTACTGAATCTGTTAGTCCAGTGCCTGGGACTGGGAATTTTCTGAGGATTTGCCCCCTGCACTGACCTATTTAGGCCCCAACCAGCCTAGCCACTGGACTCCATGCCAAGTGTGTCTTTATGATCCTGTCCTGTGTCCTGTCTCCTAGCTCCTCTCCAGTCATCATGGAGTCCCAGTTTAGCGCTCCATTGGAGCTGAATTGGCTTGTTGGTATTGTTCTTGTTATTTCTTTCCTCTTTAGCATGTTTCCTAGCTGTGTTATGTGTATTTGCATGCTACAGCCTTTTGTAACAACTGGCAGCCTGCAGCCTGTTAACTGTATAATAAAGACTCTAATATTCTATATTTTAAAATGTGGCTTCTGGAATGATTTACCTTACAACACCATATTGAAGAATTAAGTGAGAATTGATGAAAGGCAATTAGAACAATTCTAGATATCTAGATAGCACTTAGTCATTAGTTTATATAGTCAAGTATAGTCAGCATTCCCTAATTGCCCAAACAATGCCATTCACCATTCAACAAGTAGCCCTCCTCTCCCCCAACCACAGAAATTTTTCTAAATGATGTCCAAATCCATAAAATCTCACACAATTTAAACTATAGCTGAAAACTTGTAGCCTTCACGTAAGTCATAACATGTATTCCACTCCTAAATTATGTGTGCTTGTGAATTTATAAAGTCAAAGCTAAAACTCATGATTTTATGATGCAGGTGTTAGTCACTTCACAAACCCACAGATCACAATTTGTATCATTACTTTTTCCTCTTAGTTGGCATGAATTAATCTCCTTGGGAATTAAAAAAAAATTAAAATGATTTGTCTTGACACTAGATGCCCATGCAGACTCAGTATTCTTTATGCCTCAGGGGAGAAGGATGAGTTTTCTCATGAGTCCCTAAAAATCAGCTGCTCCCAAATCCTTTTTTATCATCACAACCTAAGCTTAGGGCAGTTTTTGTTGGCTAGAGAAAGGAAAACAACATCTTGCCTTGCAAATGATCTGACTTGTTTTTTAGGTGACCTGGTACATTAAAATGGAATTGCTCAACTAGATTTCCAAAGAACTTAGAACAAGTACTGAGGAAAATGTGTATTTTCAGAAATGTGTATTTATTGACATACTAGAATTTTAGAATTCTATGATCTCATATATGTTTATGTTTTATTTGTTACTTGCCAAATTAGAAACCTACCTTGCACTCTCAATTTGATGCAAAAGATTTAGAATATAAATAGGCCCTGTAGGTCTGGAGACAGGTACGTGACAGGGTCCTTGCCTAGCATTCACGAGGCCCAGGGTTTGATCACCAGCAGTGCAAAAATAATAAAAACTGAAAACTAGTACCTATATGTTTCATGTACCTTTAGTTAAATCCTAGGAAATAATTTCAGGGTTTTAGTGACTGGAAATCTATTGTCTGAAAAGAGTTGGTGCTTCTGATATAAGACATTATATGTTTCATGTGAAACTGCAGGCAGAGAGGAAAGGATTCTAATAGTGCCAGAGATTCTAATAGTAAGCCAGAAAGCAGATTCCTTACCCAACCATAGAGAACTATTTAAGTACAAAGAACTCAGTTACAATAGGAACCAAAGTCAAGCTTTCTGTGTTTTTAAATTTCTTCAATACCTAAGGCAACTGCTGGTTCCCTTGTTATTCATCAGGGACTGGTAAAATGCTCTTACATTCTAGTCTATAATTATTGTTGGGAGGATAATGACATAGACCTGAAAATCTTCATGAGATTTACTTTATTATTTTTAATGGCAAGAAAACAATAGTGAATTGTCTTTCTTTCCCTACTTCTCCCCCACCACACACACATACATGCAGAAGACTTTTTAGCCACAATTGAAATTTTCATTTCAGTGTTAAGATGAAACCTCTTTAATTGATGCTACTAAAAATAAATATCAAATTTTAATTTCAGTAGGTTTATTTTGTTAATTCTTAGCTTTAGCACTATTTTTAAATCTTAACTGCAAGATTATCTAAACTCCATTCACAGACTTTTCTGTATTGACAAAAATGAAATGTGTTCCATACAGACATGGCTAATATCTACAGGTATTTTTAAACTATATATATATATAAATATATATTTTGAGTTCATACATATCTATGAACTAAATTTAAAATCCACCTAGGGGAGGAACAATGTAAAATCTACATAATTATTTTGAATATCCATTAGGACAAATGAAATAATCCAAATTAATAATAGTCTAGAGAAAATTCACTTAATTTTCTTAAGTGACTTATGATAGTTCTTCCAATAGTTTTCTTATTTGCACATGAATTGAAAACCCCATTCAAAAACTTTTCTCTAGGTTTCCCTTGTCATAAATTCCAGATGCACCCTACAGACAGATCCATTGTATACAGATTTTAGTGCTCTGTTGTTCCAGAGATTTCCCTTGTGAATAATTAATTGACAATATTTCCTCTTTTACCCAAAAATCTCATCTGGCATTGCAAGTGTGCAATTAATTCATTTGTACGGGCTACTGAATACTTTGTTATCAATGGATGACCTCTGTGAGCAAAAAAGATGGAATTTTAAATCCCAAGATAGAAGACCTGGGGCTGAGAAGGTGGCTCAGTGGTAGAGCGCTTGCCTTGCATGCATGAGGCCCTGGGTTCCATTCCTCAGCACCCCATAAGCAAAAAGAAAAAAGCCAGAAGTGGTGCTGTGGTTCAAGTGGTGGAGCGCTAGCCTTGAGCTGAAGAGCTGAGGGACAGCACCCAGGCCCAGAGTTCAGGCCCCACGACCAGACCCCTCACCCCAAAAAAAGAAAAAAGATAGAAGACCTCTTGATTTAGTTGAGAGATTAACTTACTGAGAGTATGGTTACTTGGAATGTGGCAGTACAGGGAGGGTCAACATTATCATGCGCTAATACTTCATCACCAGACAACTAGAAAATTTATAACTAAAATTCAGAATAATGCACTGAACACAAAACCTCAAGAGCTTCTTTCACTTGACATTCTTGTCCTTTCATTCTACCAGATTTGGCATTTTATCAAGTCCACAGACTGGAGAAACAAGAATGTCTATGATTCACTGCTATTCCTGGGTGTGTTCACTTGGAGAAGAATAGAGTGATTCAGGTGAGATTAATAATGGTGAGAGAGGAGGTAAGCATTTGGGTGGGTGAGGGGAAGAGTAGAACAGAAGTTAGATTGTGGAAAAAGTAATGGGAATAAAAGCATTGCTCAGGGCCACATTCTCAGATCTTTTATTAGAAGTGTCACCCTTGTATTCATTTGAAGGAAAAAAAAAAGAGCATTAGATGTCAGCAAATTCTTCAGCAACAGAACTTGTCTTATAATCATCTTTAACCACCTTGAAGTTTGAGAGATAACAACCCCCATGATAATTTCACAGTATCGAAATCTGTTTGAAGTGCCGGTAAACACGTCAGCTCGGTATTCTACCTTTGCCTCTCATTACTGTTTTGGTGCTGAGGATTTTTAAATTTTTTTCTTGACAACATTTTTTAGATGAAAGAGCAAAAGAATCTAATAGTACCAGCAAATCAGGCACAATAATTCTACCATGTTGGAGGGGGAGGGGTAAATACAAGCATTTTGCTTCTACTCTTCTATTCTTTGGAAAACTTTTATGGTAAGTAGAACAGTAGATCAAATGAGTGGATTTAGCTTAAACAGAAATTGTCTGGCCTCTGTTCAGGCTCTGAGATTAGACTAAAACTTAATCCCTTTCCCACCACTCCTCCAATCAGGAGAAAACACAAGGTCTCCACTGCCTATGACCATATAAAATGTCACAGATGCCCACCATCAACCTTTACGTGTCAAACACACTGACTGCAGAGCCCTGGACCAAGAGGTTTGAATCACCAGTGAAGAAATAATTACTGGTGATCTATTTTCAAAGCTAGGTATCTGGCCTGACTCTCTTCATTGTGGCAACCATAAAGTTCAAATACCTGGAAAGTCCCTAAGCAAACACAACATTTGAAGGGGGCAACTAGCAGGTGGGAAGTAGACCACAATGAAATCAGAAAGCAACTCAAAACTGTTTATGTGCCCCAAAGCAAATAGCCAGAAAAGCCTTCCTCACCAACAAAGATCAAAGGGTGATGGAGACAACCAAAGACCCCTTCTAAAATGCAACAAATCTTAAGAGGTGCATGCAGATGTTAAAATTACCCAATAGAAAATAATGAAATGTAAGCAACATCCAGGAAGACTGTACACTTCATAGTACTCAGCCAATGCGGAACTGGGGGAAGGGGCCTGTACACTAAGATAAAATGCTTGCTGTAACTGCTTTTGGTGTCTTTGCCCACCAGATACCAAATCTTGAAAGACTACCAATAAACATTAAAGTCTCCCTTTCACTATACTTTGTGCCTCTGAATCCATTCTTTGAGCTTAGATGGATGTGTTTTTCACAGACCTAATGTAAGGCATGATCAGAGGTTGGCAAGCTGAAAAGAACAAAGTCATTTCCTCATTGATCTCCCACCTATCTTAAAGGTTGTGTCCAGACTTATTCTCCGCTCTGTTCAAATCATACCACTTCCTACTAACATCAATGTCATCCAATTTGCCACTTCCATTTTAACTCTGTGACTATGAATAAGTAATGTATGAGGTTTAATGATGCTGCCAATAGCTCTCAATAGCAAGTTATTTTAACTGGCCTTAAACTATGATCCTCTAGATCTCCGCTTCTTGAATAGCTAGGACTACAAGTATGAGCTACTAGGGCCCAGCTAAATTGTCCTTTTCTTACAAGTACTTTCAACTCTTTTTATTATTTTAAAATATTTTTTCTGGTGGTGCTAGTTTCATCTCAGGATTTTGCACTTGCTAGGCAGGTGCTCTACAGCTTAAGCCATACCTCTAGCCTTTTTGCTTTGGTTATTTTTGAGATAGTATGCCAAAAACTCCCAATCGTGTTCAGATTTTTTTCTGTCAAAATGGGATTTCCTAACTGTTTTGCCTAGGTTGGCTAGGCACTATAATCCCCTTGATTTCTTAAGTAGCTAGGATTAAAGGCATGAGCCATCATGGTCAACTTCAACTACTTTTTTAAATAAATAGGATTACGGTTACAACTCTTCCCAGCCTTCTCCTCCCTTATATATGGTAACAGTGGGTTAGTCTATCTCCAAGGTACTGTCTATTTTCTTCTATATCTCCTGTAATGAATTACAGGAGAATATGAATGCCTGCTATTGAAAATGCAAGAATTTTATTAGCAAATGATCTGCTATGATCTTCTATTGAAAGATCTTTTATTGCTGAATATCTGCTGTGATGGGGCTGGGAAGGTGGCTCAGTGGTAGAGCGCTTGCCTTGCATGCATGAGGCCCTGGGTTCCATTCCTCAGCACCACATAAGCAAAAAGAAAAAAAGCCGGAAGTGGCGCTATGGCTCAAGTGGTAGAGCACTAGCCTTGAGCTGAAGAGCTGAGGGACAGTGCCCAGGCCAGAGTTTAGGCCCCACAACTGGAGCCCCCAAAAAAAGATCTGCTCTGAGTAGAATTCATGCCAAGGGCAAGGGTAGCACCCACCAACAAAGATGGTCTTCTCAGTCTCTTGAGTTTGCCACTCACAGACAGCACCCCAGGATACCAAGGAGTAGAGTCTGGGGTTTTGGAGAGCCCACAACTAATCACATCCACATTTGTTAAGCAAATTCCTACGAAACTGTATGTTATAAGCAACTCACAGGTTAAAAAATAAAAGCATGCATCACTCCAGGTTGGCATTGGCTGAAATGCCTTCCCAGCTTAACTCTGAACCATTGAAACAGAGTTTTTGAACTTGCATGTACAAGTTGAAGTTTTTGTAGAGCTGCCAAATCTGTAATACAACAATAATTAGCATAAAGCTGGTGCAATTAAGCAACCCAGAAAGAAGTGAATTTGAATTTTTGGCAGAATGTCCCTGAGAGAGAAGGGAGGAGGAAGGATGAAGGGAAGGAAGGAAGGAGAAAGGCAGGAGAGGGAAGTAGAGAGAGAGGGAGAGAGAGAGAAGGAGGGAGATGGAGAAGCTTATCAGTTGTCAGTTCAGATTTCTACTCAGAGATTTTAAAGAGATGTCAAGATGATTTCACCTCATGCTAATAATTGTTTCTAGGGAGAGACTTTTTCAGCCACTAGTTTTCAAACCAAATAAATCAACAAGTTTTACTGACCAGTACGCCTCTGCTTCCTATGAATACTTTGCCTTTTTCCCCGCCAGTTGTAGGGCTTGAGCTCCGAGCTGGGTGCTGTCCCTGAGCTCTTTCACTCAAGGCTAGCACTCTACTACTTTGAGCCATAGAATCCCATTTTCTGGTGGTTAAGTGGAGATAAAAGTCTCACAGACTTTCTTGCCCAGGCTAGCTTTGAACTGAAATCCTCAGATCTCAGACTCCTGAGTAGCTAGGATTTGAGGTGTGAGCCACCAGTATCTGCCCAACATTTTGCATTTTGACAGTAAGAATTAGTCTGACTTCAAATATTTTCTTCCTGACAATAAGATTAAGATCTAAAAACAAATTTAAGCAAGAGAAATCATTTCAGAAAACAAAATCAGGAATATCAAGGAGCAGATGATGTGATGATGTGTACCCAAAGTGACTGGATTTTGATGAGGGCAAGATGGTATGTTATTACAGGTTTGAAAGACTACAGCTAAGAATTATGTGGACCAATGAGAGTACTTAGGAGACTAGAAATAAACATTTGCATACTAATTAAGAGCTATCAAGGCAAGCTTTACAAACCCATCTCCTTTCAATCAATAACTTCTCAAGCTAAGACTACAAGACACATTTATGGACTGCTACACTCATAACTGGAGTTCTCATGAGTCTTCAACTATTTTCTATCAAGAAGTATTCAGGAAAAGAGAGAAGAAATGGAGAAGAGAGAAAAGAGGGGGAAGTAGTCTTTACTCAATGATTTTTGCACTTAAGCAAAACCGTCATTCAGAGAAGGCGACTTCTCTGTGAGGAGCAGCTACTGCGCTGCTGTGTCCAAATAATTGGCAATTCTCAGCCTCTTTGTCTTCGGTAACAGGCCAGAATGCAGATCTTCATGAAGACCTTGACTGGCAAGACCATCATTCTAGAGGTTGAGCCCAGTGATACCATTGAGAATGTGAAGACCAAGATTGAGGATAAAGAGGGCATCCCTCCCAACCAGCAGAGGCTGATCTTCGCAGGCAAATAGCTGGAAGTTGGCCGCACTCTTTCTGACTACAACATCCAGAAAGAGTCCACTCTGCACCTGGTCCTGCGTCTGAGAGATGGTATGCAGATCTTTGTGAAGACCCTGACCGGCAAGACCATTACCCTGGAGGTGGAGCCCATTGATACCATTGAGAAAGTGAAGGCCAAGATCCAGGATAAAGAGGGCATCCCTCCTGACCAGCAGAGGCTGATCTTCACAGGCAAGCAGCTGGAAGATGGCCACACTCTTTCTGATTACAACATCCAGAAAGAGTCTACCCTGCATCTGGTTCTCCGTCTCAGGGGTGGCTATTAGTTTTACAGTCTACCCTCCCAGTGTCCAAAGATGGCATTACTCAGCACTGTAGCCATTTGCCCCAATTTAAGTTTAGAAATTAACCAGTTTCAGTATTAGCTGAACCTGTTCAAAATGTTAATAAAGGTTTTGTTGCATGATAGCAAAAAAAAAAACAAACCAAAAAACACATCATTCAGTGTTCTAAAATACTATTTTCCAAAACTAATTGCTGATTTATTCACTCCATACTACTAATTGTTTTTCACATTCAACCTGGGTTTTGAGATATAAATAACAAACCAAACACCATGAATCCTGAGCACACTTTCTTTGTGCTGGATTCTGGGAAAATTGTGATTTCTTAATCAGGAATGCATACTTCTTGTTGTTAAGGCCTTTGGATACAGTTGGATAAAAAAAGATTGTAAAATACATATTTTATAATTAATAAAGATGTAATTAAATTTGGGGAAAAAAATCTTCCAAGATTTTGCTTGAATACAAGTTTCATTGAAGATGAACGTGAATGTTCTTTGCTGCTGTCACAAGTCTCTTCTCTGATTCCTTAATTCTGATATCAGGGTGGCAGCAGCATGGGGTAGGAAGGAGTTTGGATCTGAGGTCTTTACCAACTTTAGGGCAGAGAAAAGAGAGGGGAAGTAAGCAAGAATCATAGAAACATCCCATAATTTCAGCTCCAGGAAAACAAGTCAGATAACACAGGATGAAGTCAGTACATGTTAGGCAGTATATAAAGCATATTGATTTTCATCCTACAATATATGTGCTCCCAAACACCACAGTGTACTCAATAAATATATGCAATATTATAATCAATTTTTTTAAAACTTAGAAAAAGAATAGTGATTTTGTTAATTCTGCTAATTGTACCTATAGTACAACATCTACAAAAGGTACAGAAATATGAGTCTTTTCAAAGATGACATGAAAGGATGACATAAGTCTTACTTCTTAGGAAAAAAATACATTGTATTATTTGTCTCATTTATCCACTTCATTTGTCTAAGTCTGTCTTTTTGTCACTTCTCTCCAGCTATCCTATTAGCTACCCAAGCTACCCAGCCCCCAGGCTGCACTCCATCCAGCTGGTCTGATTTCTGAATTGCATGCCACGTTCTCTGTGCCATTGCAGTCCCACACCCATCCACTCTCTGAGTACTGCCAGGACGACCTCTTCAGCCATCTGTATCTTCAGCTTTGCTGAATTATGAGCTGAAATTCCCAGAACAGGTGGGTCCTCTCCTTATCACGTTACAGGTTTTTTCTGCCTAGACAACACAGGCATGCGCATGCATGTGCTATCTGTCTGCCTGTCTGTCTGTCTGCCTGCCACCCCTCCCCCCTCTTTCTCTGACCAAACACATGCAGATTAATTGACTGAAAAGCAAGAGGTTTCCATCAGGAAAGTCCTCACATAGCACTTTTCTCATGAAGCCTTCCTTGACCAGGCCTTCTATGAACTTCCTTCACACTTTCCATGAACCCTTAGCACAGCACCTCCCAACTGAACCCCAAACCTATAAAGCCTTTTGTTGGAATGCTAGGGATACAGAACTCAGAGAGACAGTCCCTGTTCTTAAGTAACTCACAGTAAAACATGTATTATGACACCTCAGGGTAGAATAGAAAGCATCCAACTGGACTAGAGAACTTTGAAGAGGAAGAGAATAAAAGAATCTGTGCCAGTGGGAGCCAGTGAGAGGAAATGGGGATGTGGCCAAATCGTAGTCTTGAGATGGGAGCAGGAATTAACCAGATAGAGAATGTGTGTGTGTGTGTGTGTGTGTGTGTGTGTGTGAAAGAGAAAGAGAAAGAGAGAATCATGTGTATGCCTGTCTAGGCAAAAAGAACCAAGTAACATGATAAGGAGAGGTGGCCTGTTATGGGGATTCCAGTCTGTAATTTGGTAAGGCCGATGCTAGGAGTGGGGTGGGATGAAGCTAGAGAGGTATGGATGAAGATCAGGATTTGGGTTTTTCAAGAAGTCTGGAAGTACTGGAAGATTTAAAAGTGGCTAAAGGGGTTGGGAAGGTGGCTCAGTGGTAGAGCACTTGCCTTGCATGTCTGAGGCCCTGGGTTCCATTCCTCAGCACCACATAAGCAAAAAGAAAAAAGCCAGAAGTGGCGCTATGGCTCATGTGGTAGAGCGCTAGCCTTGAGCTGAAGAGCTGAGGGACAGCGCCCAGGCCCAGAGCTCAGGCCCCACGACCGGATCCCCCACCCCCCAAAAAAAAACAAATAAAGATGGCTAAAGAGGTCATCCTGGCAGCACTTAGAGAATGGATGGGTATGAGAATGGATGGGATGGCATAGCGAACCTGGAATATTGTCTATAAATTTAGTTAAACTAACTCTGTGAAAAATATTCCCCAATTGTGTAACCTGACCATAGAATACAGACCCTTGTCAGATGAATAAATATGATTGGCAAGTTTTGTTGTTGGGTTTTTGTTTGTTTATTTTGTTGGTCATGGGGCTTGAAATCTGGGCCTTGGTACTGTCCCTCAGCTCTTTAGCTCAAAGCTAGCACTCTACCACTTGAGCCATAGCACTACTTCCGGTTTTCTGGTGGTTAATTGGCAATAAGAGTCTCATAGACTTTCCTGCCCAGGCTGGCTTGGAACTATGATCCTCAGATCTCAGCCTCCTAAATTGCTAGGATTACAGACATGAGCCACTAGTACCCGGCTATGATTGGCAAGTTTTAAACAACTACCTAAGAGTTGCCATGTATATAAAGTACCAAAGCTTGAGATTGTTCCATTCTTGGATATGAAGAAGACAGTACTATGTAAAACAGCAGTTAAGAGAATAGACATTAAATCAAACACAACTGGTTGCACATTCTAACTCTGCCCTCTGACAAACTCTATGATAATTCCACTGAATGTTTTCTCATGACATCTACTCATGAAATATGATGCTGCATATAAAGTGACTAACAGAACCCAGACAACTCATCCCAGTGGTAAAATTCATGGTGACATTTCTGAGGCTTACCTCAAAGCCACAGATAGAGACCCGTGGACAGAAGCACTGCAAAACAAGATGCTTGATGACAGGATTTTCTCATCTCTTTCAGGGCACTAAATATTCCTACACTGTTCTCCACTGTACTACAATGGTGCTCTATGAGTTGGTTCAAGGTGTTTCACAGGTTAAGCCAATTAAAATCATCATTTTCAAAATTAAGATGTGTGTGTTTGTGTGTGTGTGTGTGTGTGTGTGTGTGTGTGTGTGTGTGTGTGTATAGAATGCTTCCAGCAGTACATGATCTACTATTGTCAATATCCCATTGTCTGAAGCTTTGGAACTTAAGATTTTACTGCAGGCCAAATGTGGTAGTGTATTCTTGTAATCTCAGCTACTTGGGAAGCAGAGAGGGAACACAGTTACAAGGGAAGCCTAGGAACAAAGTGAGACTTCATCGAAGTATGGTGGTGATGGTTCTCCCCTATCATCATAGCTATGCCGGAGACAGGTAAAAGGATTGCAGTTCAGTCCCAGGTAGAATGTTAGCCTAGAAAGTGTGATGCTCTGCTGGGGCGCTGGTGGCTCATGCCTGTAATCCTAGCTACTCAGGAGGCTGAGAACTGAGGATCGTGGTTCAAATCCAGCCCGGGCAGGAAAGACTGTGAGACTCCTATCTCCAAAAAACCACCAGAAAACCGGAAGTGGTGCTGTGGCTAAAGTGGTAGAGCGCTCGCCTTGAGCTGAAGAGCTGAGGGACAGCACCCAGGCCCAGAGTTCAGGCCCCACAACTGGACCAAAAAAAAAAAAAAGAAAGAAAGTGTGATGCTCTGAGCCCAATCCCTATTACCACTAAGAAAAGGAGAGAAGAAGGGAGGGAGGGTGGGAGGGAGAGAAGGAAGGGAGGCAGGAAGGGGGAGAAAGGGAAGGAAGGGAGGAAGGAAGGAAGGAAGGAAGGAAAGAAAGAAAGAAAACCTTACAACATCCATAGAGAGCATAACTGTCTCTCCCTCTCATTTTAGGAAAACATTTCTTTTCAAATGTAGATTTTAAACCCCTCTAGTCTCAGGTCTCAGCCTCCTGAGTATCGGATTATAAATGTGAGCCACTGATGTCTGACTGTTGTGTGGATTTTTGACAGCTGTATAGTGGTAAGTACCCTCCTTTATTCAACTGTTCACTTTGTACTTGAATAGATAGCTTTAAGTTGTCTTTGGTTTCTTAGCTTCATAGAATTTAGTTATTTTTTTGGGGGGGGAGGGTCTGGTCGTGGAGCCTGAACTCGGCCTGGCCGCTGTCCCTCAGCTCTTCAGCTCAAGGCTAGCGCTCTACCCCTTGAGCCACAGTGCCATTTCCAGCTTTTTTCTTTTTGCTTATGTGGTGCTGAGGAATGGAACCCAGGGCCTCAGGCATGCAAGGCAAGCACTCTACCACTGAGCCACCTTCCCAGCCCTTCATAGAGTTTCTATAACACAGAGTTTCTATTTTTTGTCCCATTGCTAATTGATTTTGTGTTCTCTATAACTCCAGCTATTTCCTGGAGAGGATACAAGTTCTTCTTATGACAGGAACCAATGGCATAGATTAAGGAACACTAAAATAAAAATTTAGGACCAAATAATTGGGTAATGGTTGGCTCCTTGGCCTAAATTTTCAGGGCTAGCTTCCACTTGTCTCTGGCTATTGGAAGATGTGTCAAGATTCCAGTGAAAGATCCTCTTGTGATGTCCTGCCATGCACCCTTCTACACTCAGCCACTACACAGACGATTTCTGAGTCACGCAGTGATTAACCCAGGACTCAGGACAGTATGTGCTAGTTCCTGCCTTGGTGCAGTCCATGTGGAGAGGATCCATATGGCAGTTTCTTTCCTTACTCCTTCCTGTGTTCCTCAGGGAAGTGTCTCAGAAATGACTAATACCTGATGGGAAAGGATGACAGCTGTTCTCCAGGGCTGGCTCATGAAGACAGCAGGTAGCGAGTGGTCACATTTCATAAGTATGCAAGACTCAAGGGAAGAGTCACAATGATTACATTGTGACTCTGGAAGGAACTTTGTTAGAAGTGTAAGGTATAAGCACTGGAGAAGAGATCAACTTACTTTTAAGTCATTGAATGGAACAACATGTAAGGAGTATGGATGACATGTTGGAAGAAAAAAAGACCACCAGAT